TATTGGCTGATATTGTGATGGGTAGAATGGCTCTGCTTTACGAAGTGCTGACAAATTTTTCAAACCGGGTCAATGAGATAGGAGGTTAACAGGAATTAGGAGAGAATCAGGAAGAGTGATGGTTGGTGTAACCAGCATCAAGGAGCCAGCAACAAGAGTGGAAGGGGCTTAAGTATAAAATGGATAGCTGGTCATGCAATTTATCATTTATCTTTTAATAAACTATATATTCATTATGTAAAGTGCTATGAACAAGGTTTTCTGAATGCCATGAGAGGTCCAGTTTAAATTGCTTGTAATATTTGTAAGTTATGAAGGTTTTAATTGGTCCAATCAGTCCTAAGAATGTTTTCACCAGGTCAGGAGGTATGTGCTTTATTGCTTGAATCCAGACAAGAATCTGATTACCTGATCTGTGTTAAATTAGAGTTTGAACTCAAAAGGTCATAGCCAAGTCAAGTTAGCTCTTTGACCCTGAAGCCAAGAAACCCTTAAAGTCTCAATGTTGGTAGTTCCTCATAGGTGTTTGGTTCTCACCTGTAGTCTCCAAAGTGAACTGGTGCCTATGTCTAGCCAATATATTTCCCATGATGCTTGGCCATCAAATAGGGTACAAAAAATCTGACCGCAATGGATGCAAAAAGATCGGGACAAAATGGTAAATTGAAACCGAGCATTTATACCTCATTAGGGTAAGCGTTTAAACAATAAATTATAATAGATGTAAAAACAACACCAAAAATTGATGTTTAAAATAAGTCATAAAGTTTGATGATTTAATGTTTCTCTTTATACAGAGATAGAAAAACAAAGTTTAAGAACAAACCCCAGTATGAATGATTCACATTCCAGACTTATTATTTTATCAATGTCTCTAAAAGATGTGTTATAGCTCTGTACAACCCTTATATGGATTTTCTGGTCTCAGAACCTTGTTCATGAGAGCTTACACTTTAAATGGGCTCAGTGTTAGCCTATGGGGCTTACTCACTAAACAGTAAACTGGAAAAAATTTAAATCAAACTACCAGAGTTGGAAAATTAGTTGAAATTGCAAATTTTTTGTTATTCAGCTATTTTGCACCTTGATGTTTGAGTCTCCATAATTCACTGTTATAGTGTACATACAACCATCTACCACAGTACATTTCTTGTAATAGCTGTGTAGAATGGGTGCTGGATGTGCCGTACCAGATACATGTTTGAGTAACTTTACTGAGCATGTAAGCTTTGCTGAGATTGAGGTAATGCTGGTGATCAAGTGGGTAATTTTCACGAATTGTTACTTTACCTGTGATTCTAATGATGATTTTCACTGATAAGGTGGAAATGCCAATGATCAAGTTAGTGGTCTTCACTAAGATCATCGCATTGCTGGTGGTCTAGGCTGAATTGACTATACCAATGTCTAATTATAGATTAATAATTGATCACTTAATGAGTTTGTTTTACACTTTCACTATGCTTTTGCCTATAAATGGTTGTTATTTCTGGTGTGAGGTATCTTGACAAAGACCCTTTCACGGGTCGAAACGTTGCGGTGTCTCACTTGCCCTAATAAATACAATTGAAGATACTTGGAATGCCTGAATCCTCTTTCTACCACTGATATCTACTCCCTGGGGCTGGTGTTGGCCCTTGGTCTAGTTTAGCATCCAGATCTTCATTTTTGTTTTTTTTCTCTTTTTGCATTCACTGAGATTGTGATACTGCTGGTGATCGGTGCTCTTCACTGAGATAATGGCTTTGCTGAATGAATTGGAGACCTTTACTGAGTTCATTGCTTGTTTCAATGCACACAATATAACCCCGTTGGTTTTCTTACCTTACCGTAACAGATCACAAAAGCACTGTCTTTTCCCTTTAAACCTTTTGTAGAACTAAACAGGGATTGTACATTTAACATAAATGTACTATTTGTGTATTGCATATTTGATTGTTCATTAACTTTTTTGTTTATATTGGAGACTGTTGGATCTTTAGTTTTATTTATTTTAGTGTAGGTGATTTTGTGAAGGCAGTCACCGGTGGACTACATTGTACAATTCCTCTTGTCAATTCATCACAATTGCTTGTTCAGTGGATACGTCCCGAATGTTCTCCACTTTTCAACTTCTGTTTGGTGATGGTGTACTGGGTGCTGACTACTCCTATTCTACAGCTTTACCTGAATATGAGATCGTAGCTCTCAGCAAAAGCAAACTAGCACACAATGTGTAAAGGCTATAACCAACAAGAGTTCTAGTTTATCAGAAAAGTCAATGGAATCTAAAAGAAATCTAAAGCGCTTTGCTTTTAATATCAAGAACATTTGGGCAGTTGAGAGTCTGCTCTTCCACATTGCAAATTTTCTAAAAGAAAACCGAAAAACATTATGAGTTGTGCAAAGTCATTCTGTCTTTGGAGTGACTCAGCGTTTTGTGAAATACATTGACTGGTTCTGGGGTTGATGCAAAGAACAAGCCATTCTTGCCATTGTTATCGACACTGTGAACCTAAACTTTTATTATCTTCCACCGCTTATTCCAGAGGACAACTCCTTCAAGACTCCACTGCACTCAATGTCTTCTATGATAACCTTCAACTCCTTGCCCTCTTAGTTTTTCTTGTTTTTTTTTTTTTTTTTAATCAGTTTGGACACATGCAAAGTATTCTTATCTTTCAGATCCACAAAGCACAAGCGAAGAATATGAATTGTCTTTTTCTTTTTTTTTTAACACACTTGGTTAACGTAAAATGGTTAAAGCATTAATTCAGGTGGTCCAAATTCCTTTGATAGAGACTATATTTAACGCTTCTTAGGTCTCCTTTAAAGACTCGCATAGTTATAAACTAAGGGACTTTAAGCCATCAGAGTAAACCACTATGATAACCTTTCAAATAAAGCAGATCTGTGACTTATGTAGTTTCTATATGATCTTTCAGAGGTTACATGCATGCTGATGGTTTTCTCTGGAGGAAGAAAGAGGGGAGAACTAATTCTCTCAAGCAGAGGCATAACTAGAAACCACTGCGCCCCGGTGCGAAAATTGCCGTCTGCCCCCCCCACACTTCTCGCCTTCCAGCCACTCCATGTGTCACATTTGTGCCCCTCATTCCCTCCATGTGGATTATTTACTCCCCACAGGGTTAGTGTGGCATGGTTGGCGGGTGGAGTATGACAGAACTTTAGAGGTTAATGAGATAGGGTGAGTGTGGCAGGGTGAAAGGGGGCAAGTGTGACAGCGTAATGGAGAAAAAGCATGACAGGATTGATGGGGGGGTGAGTCTGACAGTGCTAGAGAAGGTGAGTGTAATAGGGTGAATATGGTAGAGTGATGGGTGGTGAGTATGGCTTGGGTGAGTGACAGTATTGGGGTAGTTATTGTGAGTATGGCAGGGTGAAGGGGGGGTGACAGTGTATGTGGTGGGGGTGACAGTTATGCAGACACACAGGTGCATACACTGACACACAAGCATACAGATACATGCTGATACACAGACACACATACACACATGCAAATGCAGACACACAAATTAACACACAGACACATATATACATAGAATATGCAAATACACAGGCACACAGAATGACACACTGTGTGATACACAGAATGACTCCTATAGATACAAACACTGACACAAATACAGTTACAGACACACACTGACACACATGCAGATACACAGAGACAAATACAGACAGATACACAAACACTTAAGGTCAAGCATTCAAGTACACAGAATGATACACATACAAATACACAGGGCACACATTGAAATACAGATACGCAGACCTGCAGGTACACATACAGACACACACACAAACATAGACGCACACACATACAGACACATACATACAGAGACACACATACATACATACATACATAGAAACACACATACACACATACATTAAGACACAAATACACAAACACACACACATGCAAAATGGTTTAGTCACTCTCCTGTTTCCTACAATTTAGGTGCAGGAGGGTGACTCCCATGGGGTCCAGTGGCTCAGGCTGATGGGAGTACCCACTCTGACTCCCTCCTCTCCTTCTCTTCCTACCGCACGGCGTAATGCTGGGAGGAGTGACCAGAGCAGTCACTTCCTACCATGCTCTGACCTCATCACATCACATGCTCGGTCATGCTGTAAAAGCGCCGCAGTGCTGACCTGGTCATCTGGAAATACCCGATGGGCTCCTGAATGCGTAACCCTAGCGGTTCTGGGCTGCAACACATGGCCAGTGGGCCTGGTCGCAGCTGCGACCCCTGCGACCATGGTAGTTCCACCACTGGATACACAGACACATATATACACACACAGGCACACAGAATGACACACTTTGAGATACACAGAATGATACTCCTATAGATACAAACACAGACGCACACTGACACATGCGGATATACACACACATACAAACACTTAAGAACAAACATTCAGATACACAGAATGACACTCATACAGATACAAACAGTGACACACATACAGATACACAGGGCACACACTGACATACATATACATATGCAGACAAACTGATACAGACACATTCACATACAGAAACACACGCATACAGACACATAGATACACATACAGACACATACACACATATGGAGACATACACACACACACATACATACAGAGACACATACACAAACACGAAAACATGCAAAATGGTTTAGTCACCCTCCTGTTTCTTACCTTTAAGGTGCAGGAGGATGACTTCCATGGGGTCCAGTGGCTCAGACTAATGGGAACTCTGACTCCCCCCTCTAACTCCCGCATGGTGTAAGCTGGAAGAAGTGACCAGGGCAGTCACTTCCTCCCAGGTTCTGACCTCCTCACAGGAGGCCTGGTCGCGCTGTTAAAGTGCAGCAGCGCTGACCGGGCTCCCTGAAAATACTTTGCCATTGAGTGGCCCTAACAGCATGGGCTACCGCTAGGGCCAAGGCCACAACACATGGCAGGCAGGCACTCCAATCACAGCAGCAGGAAATGCTAGCAGAATGCTTGGTTGTATAGGGAGAGGTATTAGCAGTAGAAAGAGGGAAGTGCTCATGCTATTGTACAGAACACTGGTGAGACCTCACTTGGAGTATTGTACACAGTACTGGAGACTGTATCTTCAGAAGGATATTGATACCTTAGAGAGGGTTCAGAGAAGGGCTACTAAACTGGTTCATGGATTACGGGATAAAACTTACCAGGAAAGGTTAAAGGATCTTAACATGTATAGCTCGGAGGAAAGACGAGACAGTGGGGGATATGATAGAAACATTTAAATATATAAAGGGAATCAACACAGTAAAGGAGGAGACTATATTTATTTAAAAGAAGAAAAACTACCACAACAAGAGGACATAGTCTTAAATTAGAGGGACAAAGGTTTAAAAATATCAGGAAGTATTGCTTTACTAAGAGGGTAGTGGATGCATGGAATAGCCTTCCAGCTGAAGTGGTAGAGGTTAACACAGTAAAGGAGTGTAAGCATGCGTGGAATAGGCATAAGGCTATCCTAACTATAAGATAAGGCTAGGGACTAATGAAACAAATAGATGACGGTTCAGCACTAAGTAATCTGATAGAAACTTAAGGCAAGTGGGGAAGCAGCAACCTATAAGTATGGGGCTCCCTCAAAAAACCTCACAGAGAAAAATTGGTATATAGGTCACGCTATAAAAGCAAAGGGATAATATATATATATATATATATATATATATATATATTTTTTTTTTTTTTGCCTTTATATACCTTTTATCATTTTATCTTTTTTATTTTTAAAACCTGGTCACCAATTTGAACTGGAGCACGTTATTACTCAAGAATCCTAGGTGGGGATAGTACCACCTGTGCCATTATATTGAGCAGTAGATCCTGCTCATATATATGTGAGTATTCTACTACCTTACTTTGTATTCTAAACTTATACAGTGAGCACTATATACGTCTCTTATCTTTTCATATACCGAGGAGCTCTCAAGAATCTCATCACCTATATCCAACCAGTGGGGGATTGATGCCACTGAACGCTAAGAATACTTGAGCAAGTTTTTTGCTCATATATAGGTGAGTGCTCTATCGATCTATAGATTTCCACTTGCCCATTTGTCAACATTCTATCTGCACTATTGGAGTTTTCTTGTCTTTTTTATGTATCCACATATCAACAAGTGAATCAAGACATCTCCAGTACAAGAAGATTCAGATATTCATTGGACTCTATACCTATCCAAGCACCTTACAGGTTGATTTTACGTTTTGGGACTTTTAGATATTTTATATTTCATTTTATATATTATCCCTTTGCTTTTATTGCGCGACCTATATACCAATTTTCATAGGGACTAATGAGAGTATTTAGAAAATTGGGCAGACTAGATGGGCCGAATGGTTCTTATCTGCCGTCACATTCTATGTTTCTATGTTTCCCTTGGAGTGACGGGCACGGTCGCAGTTGCGGAGACTGTAGTAGTTCCGCCACTGCTCTCAAGTTCTCTTTCTCTCTATGTTAACTTTGTCCTATTGTGTACTTAACAGAGATCATAGCCATCAAAATGAACAAATATTTCGGAATTCACTCTTTTTCTAATTCTAGAGGCATGTAGAAAGTAGTTCCTACTTTGTGTTAAACTTATCAGTTGTTTGTGGTAGAATTTTAATTTAGCTGAAACCATTATTTCCTACTACTCTCTCCATGCACATACCATGGTATGTAGTTATATTGTTGTCTTATTGCACAAAGCTTATAATGAGACAATTGCTCCTCATAACATTGCTTACAGAGATCTCTCTTCTCTCTTAACCACTAGGAAACAAGAAAAAAAAGGACAAAAAAAGAAACCCCCATAATCTTTAGGAAGCTGAAACAATGTTTTACAAAGTTTGTAATTGACATTCTAAATAAAATTCAAAGCTAAGGCACGTTAAAGGGACACCATAGGCACCAAAGCCACTACAGCTTAATGTAGTCATTCTGGGGCAAAGAGATTGAGCCTGCAGTCTTTATATTGCGGCCTTAAGCCATTTTTAGTGGCCGTTACTGCAGTACAGGGGTTTTCCGGTTTGCAGAACCAACATTCAGCATCTCCACACTGCATGGGGATGCTGAATGCTATCCACAGAGAAGCATTGAGATAACTTATCTCCGAGGAAATGCTGATTGGTGCAGCGATATGATTGCTGTACACACACACTAGCTCTTCAATGCTTTTCTGTGGGGGGGGGGGCATGGTTGGGGGATATGGGCTATTGTGAGGTGGATTGTGGGTTATGTCAGGTGACAGGAGCTGTCGTGGGGTGTAGTGGGAGGATGGGGCTGTAATGGAGTGACAGGGATGAAACGAACAGGGGCTGTAAAGGGGTGACACTAATGGGCGCCACCATGACCTCTACCTCGCAGGCTCACTGCCTAAGTGTTCTCTTTGACTCCGAACTCTCCTTCAACCCTCATGTCCACTCGATCCCCAGATTGCACAGCTGCAGTCTACAATGAATGCGGCTTCTAGGCTCATTTTCCTGTCCGTTCGCACCTCCCACGCCTCCCCCTCTGTCAGTCCCTACATTGGCTTCCAGTTAGATATAGGGCTCAATTTAAGATTCTGGTGCTTGCATACAAGTCCCTACATAATGCTGCTCCAACCTACCTATCCTCCCTAATACACAAGTATGTCCCGTCGAGGCCCCTGCGCTCTGCTGAAGACCTACGTGAATCCTGTGTCCATACTCCCACATCTGATGCTCATCTCCAGGACTGTGCCTTTTCTGTGCAACTGCCTTCTCTTCTTCGTTAGACTTTCACCCAGTCTCCACTCCTTCAAAAAATCTTTGAAAACACACTTCTTCTGGAAAGCATATCAACTAAACTGTTAGCAGGTTTTCATTTCCCCCCTCCCCCCACAATGACTCCTCTCCTGCAACTGTCAAAAATAGCCTAAGTTCTCAGTGAATACTTTTCTAGCAACTTATTTCATTACCTCTACTTATACCAATGGTGTCACTATACCCCACTCCCTCTAGCATGTAAGCTCCTTGAGCAGGGCTCTAAACCCCTCTGTTCCTGTGCGTCCATTTGTCTAGTTACTATTACGTGTCTGTTAGTACACCCATTGAACACAGCTATGGAATTTGCTGGCGCTATATAAATAATAAAATAATAATGGGCTGTGATGTTGTGGCAGGGGCTATAGTGGAATTACATGTGTTGTAGTGGGGGGAAAGGTACAGTAGTGAGGTGATAGGGGCTGTATAAATGTTTCTTCCTCCCTCCCTAAGGATTACTTTGTTCCAGGGAGGAGAGAATCCCTGGGGCATTTGCGTCCCAGCCCTGTCCGCCACTGCCATACTCCCTGACCATCATAAAAATATAGAAAGACGGGCCCAATAATATTCGGTTTTCCAAAAACTTATTTCAACCAGACGTTTGCCACTTTGTTTCAAGCACTTATCTGCAAAGACCGTGCACTTTTGAAGGCCTAAAATAGACCTAGAGTATATTTTAGGTGCCTGGCGCATGTGCATGATGCCAGGATTCAAAAACACACTGTGTATGGATTACCTGCACAGTTTAAGGTTTGATGAGGGTTGCTTCTGACCATAGAGGACTTCAACATGGCTGCCCCCATTGAGTAAGGGAAAGCTTTAAAAACCCTGGAATATAGTATTTACATCTGCGTATGCATCAAAATAAATACACATATTGGCTCTATTAGACATTTAATGTTTTATTTTAAATAATAAAAAAATTATGACCTACTTCCTTCAACACATGCAAATTAATTCCAAAATTCTAGAATGGGTTATATAACAAATTACCTGTGTTTGCTCATATAAACCTAAATAGATAAAGGGATACACATGGCAAGGTTTTTAGTGTCATCAGTTATCCAGTTTCGTGGTCATGTGTCGGTAACTCGTTCTTACATCACCACAAGAGTACAATCCAATATGGTCCTCTTCTTCTGCACCTCATCAGCATCAGGTTTTTGATTGTTCCTGTGTTCAGAGACAGTGTCCTGCACACTACACTGTTGTAAAGAGTGGTTATTTGAGTGTTTGTGGTCTGTCAGCTTGAATTAGTTGGGCCATTTTTCTCTGACTTCTCTCATTAACAAAGAGCTTTTACACACGGGCCTGCCACTCACTTGATGGGTTGTTTTTGTTTGTAGCACCATTTTGTTAAATTATGTAAACCAGCACCCGAAACAATCCTGGTGATCATTTATGTTTTCGTTTTGTGTTTTTTTTTGTTTTTTTTTATTTATTGCTGCAACCTCTGCGTTTACCAACAATTGTCGTTACTATAACAAAGTCAATCTCTTGATCAAGGGTCTTCTCTTTTCTCACGTTTGTTTGAACAACTACTGGATCTCTTGTTTATGTTTGCATGCATTCTACATTGTGTAACAGCTGTATGATTTGCCTTTTGATGAGTTGTGTTGTTGGGTTAACAAGGAGGTGTCCTAATTATGTCTTGGCTGAGCACATATAGATTGTGGTGGCTTTACGAACTGTTTAAATATTCTACCTAGATAACGATTCTTGAAATAGAGTTCACCCAGTTTTTGACTATGGACATCCTTACATTTATTTTGGAACCCAAAAGAGTTAAAATACAATGTATTAGAGCATTATTGCTCTGAGGATGATCTACGTGTGTGTACGTGTGTGTACGTGTGTGCACGTTTTATAGACAGAACAAAGAGGTTCCTGGGTCGCAAAGTGGAACCAATGGATTTAAGTCATTAGAAAAGTGGTATGATTCACTGCCCTAAAAACTCGAAAGTTCTGACGGAAGCAGGCGAGCAGATTGGATATGGTATCATTGTGTAATCACATTCACGGAGGAAGGGAAAACGTGTTTTTATCGGATATATTATTCCTCTTGAGTCAGCCCGTTTTGCAATGTCTGGTCTTCCACCTGCCTTATCTTCACGCCGTGACCTTGGCTGTGACAGAATTAGATCTTAATTGGCAATGTTTTCAGCGCGTGACTAAAAACCTCCACATTTTTATCATCAGATGATTCTTTATAGGACTGTTTGCCATCTCATACTGATATGGGTTTTTTACACAATCTTCAAAATATGGCAGTTTTAGCTTATTCATTGCCTTCAATAAGATAAGCAAACACTCCAAATTTGATTTGCAATCCAGAAGTGCTTTGTCATAGATTTGTTTAATGCAATATATAATATATTTGTCTACCACTATTCATTATCAA